AAATAGGACAAAAACAATTTCATCTTCAAATTTAATTTTGTACTCCAAAATCTAAACTAATTTTGTTAGCATGTATATACAGCACCACGATTTTGGAATTCTATCCTATCAAAAAAATGTGTATAAGTAACTATTCACTAATTTCAGGATCTTTTAAACATATTTTTTAAGATTTTGTAGTCTATGAATAAAATGCAGTATTGTATATAATGGTTATTAGTAGATAGAGTATCTCTATTGTTAGTATTAGCTAAAATATTGTGAAGATGATGCCATTGACCTTCTGTTATTAATAATATAATAAATATCGATAGAAGACCAAATTCATGAATCATTGTATTTAAATATATTGTTTTTTGTTAAAAATAAGTATTTTCTATACTGATAAATATAGAAATTGTAAATGTTTTTGATTTATTATAGTGCTATCTATTAGTATATATACTTCTTTCTATAATCTGAATAGCAGTAGGTAGATAATATGTTATATCAGTATTTGATTGTTGAACTAATCTTTGAGTATTTTGAAAGTTTCTGAGTTTTTCTAGTTCTAAATATGCTCATACAGGCTAGTAATAATGCAAACGAAATCGAGGATCTTTGAAAAGTAAATGGTGCTTTATATATTTTCCAAATGTATTATGCTTAAGTTGAATATTTTCTAATTGATCTCTCATTTCACGATAATACCATGTCCATTAGAATACAAATCAAAAAAAAGTAATAGTTCAAAATGAGGATCATTTAGAGCAATTAGAATTTTATTTGCTTTATTTTCTATCAAAAAACCAGCCATTAAGTGATTATAATGAGCATCTTCATTATAAATCTCAGTAGAAAAATCATGGTGCGTACTACTATTTCACTATACTAAAATAGAGGTATATTTTTATTATTTGGTATGTGAGTAGCCAATGAAAAAGAGTTAATCATATTTAAATTTAAAGGAAGCATTCTTGAATATGCATATAAATAAGAGTTATTTTCTTTAAGCCAATTTATGGCACTTGTCAGTGAGTTAACAAACCAAGGAGGATATGCATGTTGTTCAATAGATGAAGATAAGGCTAAAGAACTTAAATAAGCATCTAGTATTTCTAAATATAAGGATAATGAATGTATATTTTTGGAATAATTCATAGTATCTGCTAGAACTCTGTACTCTGAGAATGGATTATCCCAGATGTGTGACCCAAAGAGCAGTTTAAAAATATTGGTGATAAGTATTTGTATTTATGCAATAGTACAGAATTGATTTTAGGTGGGATTGAAAGAAGATATGGAGGATAATTGCGATTTTGATTTTTTTACATAATGAGCATATAGCAATTTGATTTTCAGGTGGATTGAGATTAGTAATTAATGGTTCATTAGGATATGCAATAGTCAAAGGATATTAGTAATTAGAATTACGCAAAATCCATTCACATTTTTCAGGGTACATCAATTTGGAACAAATTGTACAAGAAACATATAGGAATTGAAGCAAAATATTATTTTCAAAATAATATATAATTTCTCACATTTTTGTAGAAATTAGCCAAGAGAAAAATTCTCAAAAAGAGGTCACAAGCAAAGATATATTTGATAACAGTTCAGTTGGTTGAGAAGTGATAGTTTCAGTTAATAAAAAATTAATAGTTTGTTCACCATATTCAAGAGGTGTAATTTTAAGAACTTGATCTAAAAAGAATGACATTCTATATTACAATAATATTTAAATCGATTCTTTATATATACAGTTAAAGCAGGTTATTGAAGTATTTATTTATTATTAACATAACAATTTTATTTAATGTTAAGTTTGAAATTAGAGTTTTTACTTTTCTACAACAATAAGATTAACATTTTTTTATAGCTTCTAAGCATGCTTTTTTTTTATATGTTTCACATAAAATTTATTTTTTTTTTTACGAAATATTCTTAGTCTTGTATTTGTATTGCATCTACTGGAATATTTTACCAAGCCTCATGCATCATAATAAAAATTTTCATAGTATTAATTATCTTAGATTATGAATCATCAGTTATGGGTACTTGATTGATTATGGAATTATGATATAATACCCATTTTTAGTAATGTAATTTTTTTATTGTAGGCGTAGATATTTATTTACTGTACAAATTAAAATCTTAGTTTATTTATTTTTGTTCTATACTTATATTTTAGTCAGTAACTTTTCCGCATTCACATAGTTTATTAGTAATTTATATTTATTTTGGTAACAATGTTCAATTATAGTAAATTTATTTTGAATATTTCATCACTTATACTAAAATGGTAATAATAGATTGGCTTGGTTACTTAATCATATAAATGCTATACAGGTTATATAAATGTGATCATAAGGGTGTAAACACAGTTGTTTGAACCTGCTACAAGTATCTACTCACATAATTACATGAGAAATAACTGAAAATTAGATATGTAAAAGTTTCTGCAGAGTTTAAGCATCCCAGTAGTGTTATAAATGCTTTTGTAGTCGTATAAATGCTCCTAAAATTAAAAATCTATTTAAAGACCTAAAGGCAATAGAGGTGAAAATTTTTTAGCACTATTTTATTTATAATTAAATAAAGAATACCATTCTATCTTTAAATAATTATTTTATTTTTGCTTTAATAAAGTATACACTTATCTGAATATTCTCTTGTGCATTGTCTTTTGAATTCGATTTGTAACTTTAATAAACTCATTCGAGACTCAATTCGATGGATGAATTAACTTGTAACTTTGATTCGGCTTATTAAGATTCGAATTTTAAAATATTTGCGAAATCAAATATTATCATTCACAATAGTGACTTGCAAGAATCGTGATAAAAAATGACTCTCATGATTGGTTATTTGACACCCTATTCCATCATGTGAACTTTAAGTTATTGCTCATATTATTAGATCATCATCTTCTTTTGTCTTATTATCATCCCAAAGATCATCATTCTCTATTAATATTAAAGTCTTCGCTTTGTACCATCATCTTGAACAATTAACTCTCTAATAATCTTTATCACCCTATACACCACCCGAGTTAAATCGACCTTTTCTCTATATTATTTTCTTGAGCTCTCTTAACAATAGTTACATTATAGATATATTTGAAATTAACATAACAATGTTTTGTAATATTGAAAGCTAGATAAAAGAATCTGATATACAAGAAGAATAAATTATGATTATCACCACTTGGATACCTAATGAATGCTTAAAGTAATAACTTAGAAAACTTATACCCAATTATCATAATAATTATATTACGATCATTATCATAATAATTATATTACAATCAGAGATATTATTAACAAAACAAAATTGAATTATTATGCAATTAAAATCATCAATTAATTGCAATTAATCATAATTTTTGCTTTTACTGTAAAGTTTGCCATAATATAAATTTTTTGACCTTTAAATACTCTATCTGAAGTCAAAAAAAATTAATTACATACGCCTGCAGGTCTAAAAAAAAGCCTTTATATAAACTTTTGCACTCATTATCTAGAGCATTATTTCAATATATGTTTCGATAAAAAAAAATAAATTACGAAGGTCGTTAAAATAACCTGTTAGGTTGAGCCTTTTATTTAACCCATATATTTTATTTAAACTACAATTTCTGATCACAAACATACTTGTATAAATGCACATACGTACATATACCTATTATCACTAAAGTAAAAATCACAATTAATTGGATAGCTGTCAGTGTACTGTTAATTAATTTAATTGGAGTCGAAAAATTGCAATTAACTGCTTTCACAACTAATTATTCGATACATCTGATTATAATATATTAAATATTGTAATATATTTTGAATAATTGAAATTAAACTAACATAGTTTTTAAGATCTTAAAAGTGAAAAAGATTATGAATAAAAGTCAAACCTAATAATAAAATCATCTATAAAAATAATTCGTTCAATACATAATATTATTCAAGAATCCAATTCATAAAAATTTAAATAATTAGCAATTGTATAATTGCTTAATCAAAAAATATGCATACCTATTCAGGTTGAATATCAGCGGATGTAGATAACGATGCATCTGGTTCACTTGAATTAGTCAATGCTTCTTTTGCCAGATCTGCTAATTTATGATAGTCTTTAGTTCGAGTATATGGTTTAGATTCTTTGGATAAAGGTTTAATTACAGATGAACCTTTGATTACAGATAGTGGTTTTTTTGTTTTTGGTACTGTTATTACTATTATTATTTTTATTATTGTTATCACTGTTATCACTGTTATTACTGTTGTTAAATTTTGTAGCCAATGCTTCAGCTATACTAATAGGATTAGGTTGATCAGTTTTCTAGGAAACTTGTACAGAGGTATTCGTATTTAATAATGGTTTTTGGATATCTGTAAAAGACATATTTTTAATATGTACATAATTTTTACTATTATGCAAAATAAATTCTCTACTAATATAAAGAACTGAGTTTTTTTTAATGATTGGAGTCATACAAGTTAAATGCGGTGCTGATGCCAAATAGTAGCAATCTATTGTTATAATTATCCTAGTCCACATGATCCGTCATAGCAATGATCATAATAACATCATCATTGGTAACTCTTGGAGGTTCTTGCACAACTGCAGTCATATTCGTTAAGACTGGAAACTTGGGAATGTTATTCAGATCCATGTCAAAATGTACAAGATCATTCATAATAACCTACAATATCAATTTTATTTTTTTATAACAAAATAATAGCTTTATTCTTTTAATCGCAAATTTTTTAAAAAATGACCAATTTAAACTTACTTTTAGGGCCGGGAGTTTTTCATTTTTTTCATTCACATATTCAATGACATGAAATTTGCCAGTCACAAGAATTATATCCTCCACATCAAATGTAGTAAGATTAAATTCTGGAGGTACATTTTGAGGATAAAACCCTTTAAAAAAAACTTTTGGGGTAAGTTTAAACTTCTGGAGTTAACAATTCCTGAAGCTTCAACAATCTGGAAAGTTTTTCCAGAGTTTATTTTGTAGTCAGTGATATAGCATAGAAGCATAACAGTACCAGGCATTTTTTTTGATACCTAATTGTAATTTTTTTTTTTATTTTTTTATTTTTATTTTTTATTATTTATTTTATAAAATTTTTTTATAAAATTTTAGTCAAGAAGTCAGTTCGCGTGCCTAGGCACATTCACACTAGTTTATTTATTGTTCAATTAACGCTATCAAAAACCTTGAACCATACGTGATTGAGTTTGTAAAACAATAGTTCAAGATTTCCGGAAATGGTAGCATCATGCAGAATTATGCAAGTTATGATGATCTTTCCGGATAGCAAAAGTAAGAAAAATGGCCAAAACGCGTAATACAAATCACAAGTATCTATTTTAATAGTTTAAATAAGGTAATGAATGAGGCTGAGAGAAGCAAAGCCTTAATGAAATTAATATTAAATTTTATTTTTTTTATCAATTAATTAAATAATAGTGAATAAGGTTAAGCCCGGTAAAAGCAGGTTTTCTCCTGCTCATACTCAAATATGAATACGTTGCCACCACTACCACTATCGCCATGGTAAATTTCAGAACATGTATTATTTCAAGTCGCAAATTTATTGATTTCGCCATGGTCTTTCACTATAGTCTTTGACGATCAGCGATTATCAAATCATCATACCGGCAAAAAATCAGAAGAAAAAAAAAACAAATATTAAAAAAACTCAGAAATTAAAAGTTTGAACATAGATTAAAATGAAATGTAAGTGACAAAAAAATCCTTTTTTTACCATAGGCTAAATAAGCCGTTTTAAATGTATCGTAACTTTTCTTTTTTTCTCCTTCCTTCCAACTTACTATATTCTAGTACAGTACAGTACAGTAGTATAGTATAGTAGTATACAAAAATGGCGGAGTAAAAATTTCCTTTTCTGGGGGTCGTCTAAAGCGGAGCATAATCACGTGATATCTGACCAATCAAATTATAGAATTTTGATGATCGTT